TAATTTGAACCAAAACATTACCATCTTCTCCCAAGAACAATCCCTCCAACCTCTTGTGTGCGATGCTCATGAAACCATACGAAGCAAGATGGCTCGTGTAAGCAAAGATACATGTGCCTCCACATTACCAAAAGGGGACTAAAAGAACATACAAATTTTTAGACTTAACAAAGAATTTGAGCATGAAATGTACTGATTCAACTAGTACTCAGGGAGTACAACCATTGCATCCATATACTAGATTGAACAAAGCCACATAGCCAAACTCATGGCTCTCTTGGAGACATAAGAAAGATGGGATGTAAATAATCCCTTCGTAGCCTCTTTGACTAAGATTTAAATGAGCATATTCCCAACAAGCATTACTACGAGTACCTTGTGTACATGTTTTGGCAAGAAATTAATATGATTTCTCATATTTTCCCTCATTAACACCTAGGACTCTAGTTCATGTAGCATGAATCAAGGACCAATTCAACACATTAGCTGCTCATTTCAAGCAATATAATTCAACATAACCTATCCAGCAATTATAAAGTGAAACCAAATCCTTACAAGCAAGTAGCAACAAGGGTGCAGGAAACCATTAAAAAATCACATGACTTGAACACTTAACCATTCTAACATAAGCTTTGTTGTTGTATGTAGTGATGAAAGGATGTGTGCGATAGAGGATTATAGCAGAGGAGAACGATGGATGAGATTAATAAGATTGTATAATTGGATAGTAGAGAATTAAATGAGGCGATATAGTTATATTATGTTTGTAGAATCAAGTGATTAGGAATAATAGAGTTTTAGAAAGCTAAGTTATAAGTAGTAGTTGTAGAGTGAGGAGATGAGATAGTATATATAGTAGATGTGAGAGATGAGGAATAGAGATTGAGAGATGTGATGTTGTGATTAGTAGTAGGATATGTATTAATAGATATTAGGGAGAGAGTAGATATGATAGAGTAGAGGATAGATAGTAGTAGATATTGGAGGTAGGGTGTTAGTGATGATGGGTAGATAAGATTTAGAGTGAGTGTGGTAGTATTTAGAATTAGATGTTTATAGATGGATTAGAGAGTGGAGTGATAGATAGATTAGTGGTGAGTGATTGTAATATGTGTATAATTAGAGATGTATATATAGTATGATGTAGACGTAGTATGGATAGAGATGTGATGTGAGTTAGTGAGATGTATTGATGAATATGGTAGAGGGTGTTGTGAGTAGGATGATATAGGTATATGGGATAGGTAGTATATGTGAGTGAGATAGGATTAGTAGTAGGAGATTATGATGGGGTTAGATGTGATGATATAGATTTGGATATGATGATGTGATAGAGTGTATAGTAGAGTAGTAGATGGGTGAGTGTATGTAGAGTAGTGAGATATCGCCGGGCAGAGTATAGGGTGGGCCTGAATGGGCATAGCGGGACGGATTAGAAATATTTCCGTTACAGCCGCGAACGGAAGCCACGTAAGATTAGGCAGAGATTGTGGAGAACGGATGGTAGCGAAGTGATGGAGTAGGTCGTCAGTAATTATTGATAAAGGAATAGTGTGATTGATAAGGAGAAAGGAAAGGGATGGGTAGAATGTAGATTGATTAGTGATTATAGTGATAGGTATGATGAGGTACTGTGCAACGGCCGTCGGGTTTTCAGGAGTACTTGCGTGTCGACGTTACCGGAGGAGGGGAGGGGCTGTCAGTCGGTTGGGAGCTGGGCCTCTGGTGGATTCCACGCGACACAGGGAGCACGAGAATGACTGAGGGGTTGTCCGCTCGGGCTCTGGCTTTGGGGTCGGCCGAGAGGGTGTGGGTAGCGATGGGAGTTGGAGGTAAATCAGCGTGCGAGGGAGAGCCGGGGATGGGTCTCAGGGATTTGGAGGTGTAGCGGAACGGAAGCGAGGGCGGTATAGACAAGGTTGGGGGAAGAGGAGGTTGAGGTAACAAAACAGCGGGGGAAGAGGAGTCAGGCGGCGAAGTTGAGAGAGAGAGAAGGTAAGAAGGAGAATGCGAGAGCGAGAAGGTTCGTTTGAAAGATAAAACCAGATCGTGCCGTGAAAGAGGAGCTCGCAACGTGCTCGTGCGTACACATTTCCGGAATTTCTGAGGTCTCATCGCGTGACGTGTGTACGGGTGCAGAAAATCATGAGGTAATCGGGATTTCAGCGAAACAAGGATTGGATCAATTGCAAGTGTCTGAGTGACGATTTTTCTGATTTAGGAAATATTTCAAAATACTAAGAAGAGTCAATGGCATTCGTTATGGAATGTAATTGAGCTTTGAAGTTAGATTAAATGGCTTAGATTAAGGTTTATGACTCGAGTCCATTTTGATTCGTTGCGAGTCATTTTTGGTCTTGGCTGGCGGACAAAATGTTTAACATACAAAATTGGTTCGAAAATAATGGATCAATTTAAATCAAATAGGTGCGACGCGACGAAAAACAAACAATCAAGTCAATTGAACACATTCGAGTCTAATCCGGCTCCGAGTCGGGTCGATTCGACTAAGATTGGGTCGACGAGATTCAATTAGATTGATGAGAAGGGCTCCGAAGCACATTCGAGCTAAAATCGAGGTCAACAAGGACCCAACATTGGAGAAAACGGGTGAACCGTATACTGTTGGCGGTGGACTTCCTAACTCAGGAAGATACAACATAGGCGTCAACTAAAGAAACTCACTAAGAAAATGCAACCAATCTACAATCAACTAATAGAAATCAAATCGGTAAAGAGAGGGAACAAGTCAATCATCCGCCCAACCAAAGTGGGAGGATAGGAGAAGGAAAGTCGAAGTGAAATCTCAAAGGACCAAGTAGAATTCAATGATCACCTATGACAAATATCTAAGATGAAAGAAGAAGGAATAATGGGAATATAATCATCGAAAGGTCAAATCAAATGGGAAAGTAACAATTAGAGTAACAATTATGAGGTAAGAAAATCATTTATCTGCCTGACCGGATCGCAACAGCAGAATAGAGAAAAGAAAGGGGGTCCCACATTCAACTGACCATATCACAACAGTGAATGGGGACAACTCTGAATTTGCTTGATCATATTCGCAACAGCGAAAAGAGAACTTCTCAAAGGGTCTAATGTCCACCTGACCAAAATCGCAACGGTGGGACAAAAGAAGCAAGCCCAACATTCACCTGACCAAAATCGCAACGGTGAACGAGGATGACTCAATGTCTGCCCGACCAAATTCGAATCGGTGAAACAAAGAATCAGCAGAAAACTCGACAACCCCCAAACAGGAAATAAAATAGGGGGAATGAAGAGGTGGTGAAGTATGTCTTCCAGGGATTCTGTCGGGCACCCAACCAGAAAGGGGAGTTCAACATTTGCCTAACCAGATCGCAACAGCAAATGAGATGGCTTAAAATTCCACCTGACCAAAATCGCAACGGTGAATAGTAAGCCCTCCCGAAAGATCTAATGCCCACCTGACCAAAATCTATCTTTTCCATTGGTCGTATGGGGCCCCATCTATCTTTTCCATTGCTAACCAAGCTTTCTATAGTCGCCTATTGGTCTCATCCATACAACATATATGTCCTCGACAGGATCCATCAACTTATTCTTTTAAGATGTTGACTCTTTCCCAAAATATAATTTTTGTTATATGTTGCCTTTGTCTATTAGTGAACCTTTTCCATTCAATGAAAGAGGGAAAAATATATTGGGAAAGACCCCATGATGGGGACATCAGAGCTTGGAGGGTTAATCTTCATAGAGGTCAAAGATCTATGGCATTGACCGAGTCTTTATATTTATAGTTTTCATGTATTTTAAGAGATTTATGTGGTGTTATTTATTTTATTATTGTTTTACCCTCACTTGAGGGAGCTTTTGTATTGTTTGGTCAAGGGCCTTTTTGTCTTTTGTTTTTTTCATAATTTTTTGTGTCTATATATATGGTCCATTGTTCTCTTGTATGGATGATGAATATTTGGATATAAATTTATGATTATATGTAGGGGTGTCAATTATTGACACGACCCGATAACCCGACCCGAACCAAAAAATCTGGGTTAGGGTTTAACAAACGGGTCAGGTCCGGGTCAACCCGGTAACCTGAAATTGACCTGGGATTAACCCAGTAACTCACTCATTTTTTAACTTTTCCCGCGTGGGACTGGGAGAGAAAAGCCGAAAACTCCAAAATCGGACGTCAGTCATGGGTCACATCACCTGGAGAGTTGTCCTCGTCTGGCGTGCAACGTCACCTCTATCCTGGCGTTCGCAATCCGCACCTACGAGGCCGAGGGTCGAGCCGTAGAGGCTACGACGCGTAGACGCCTAGTCACGGGTCACGAGACTCATGATGCCTGTCCGCACCGGCGCCGGACTGCCTCAGCCCCCGAGCCCCGGCTCGCGCTAGCATTTCCTGGCTGGCTGGCTTCGATGACGTCAAGTACTCGAGTCCTCACCGACCGGCGACCGCCAACCTCCGTGCAGCCAGCGTCTCCGATACCTCCTCCGTCTCGCCCCACTTTTGAATCAAACGGGTCCGCGGGTCGGGTCTGGTCAACCCGGGAACCCGTACGAGTCGGGTCCGGGTTTAATTTCCTGACCCACTTAGCTAAACGGGTCGGGTTCGGGTTGACCCATTTACACATGGGTCAAGTCGGGTTTGACTCGAACCCGACCCGTCAACCTGAATTGACACCCCTAGTTATATTCTTCCTCTTTTCTTAGTGAGTTGGGTTTAAGTGTGATGTTCTTTAGAGAAAGGAAAAGAAATACCCAACAATGTGTGAGCTCTTAGTTGGTATCATCTTCTCTCTATATCTCTTTCTTCTCCTTCCCTAGCCACCCAAACATCCTCCCACAGCAGCAACAACTTGCTTCCTTAAACTAACAGCCACCTCCATTACCTTCCTCTATAACCGCCGCCTCCTTCTCCCCAACACCCTTGACCCTTGGGCTTCCCAATTATGCATTTAATTTACATTAATTTAGCATTTATGTCAATTAATCGTGATCTTCGAAGATCCATAATTGTTTTAACTTTTTTCCCTTCCAAACAAGCCACATTAGTCCTTTCTCTTCCCTAAGCAGCTAGCCCCACCTCTTCACCTCCCAAGCTGACTTTTTTCTTTCCCAAGCCAACCAATCCCCTCCCTAAGCAAACTACATCAACCCTTTCTATTTCCTAAGCAGCCAACCCCCACCTCTTCACTTCCAAAGCTGACTTCTCCCTTTCCAAGCCACTAAAATCGGCCAAATCATCTCTCCCGTCCTCCTCCCCATGAAGTCGGCCTAGCTTTCCCCTCCAAACCCCAAAACTGTGAGCCTCTTCTTTTCCAAATTAAACCCTCATCTAGCTGAAAACTTTTTTTTTCTTTTTTTTCTTCTCCGCACTATTCTACCTCTCCAAGGAAACTTAATTTATACTAATGCAACAATGACATTGATTCAACTAAGAGCAAGGGTTTCAAGGGCAAGCCAATGAGGAACTAGCCATCATTTCATCAAGAACTCCATTCCTTTCATTCATGAGCTAAGTATCAAACCCTCCCCTTGTTCTTCAGCTAACTAAATATTGGTCTTCTCATTTCATCTATAGTAGCATCATCTCATATGTGTTGATTAATCCGTCAAATTCTACTTAAATTTGAGCGAACAAAAACTCTAGTGACTAGTCCCTTAATTAAATGTTAGACTTGTGTCAACCCATGTTAGGTAGTCTAAACCGATTTGCCTTTTTTTTATTGTTTAGCATTTACTTGTTAGTTTCTTACTACCACATGATCTAATAATTCAAATATTCTTATTGTTCTTAATGTTTTATGAAGTTTATTTTGTTGTCTTTGATGTTATTTGAGCATGAATCTCTATTTGTATGACTTATTTCATTTAGTCATACATAATTCCATCCCCATTCTATCCTAATTAGGAAAATGTAACAGCTAATACTTCCCTCCATCTACCATGCACAACTTTTATTAGTGTGATGGATGAGTCGGCCGACTTTCCCTCCTATAAATCCCACCTCCTCTTGGCTTCCCCTTAGCATCTTCAACCTCCTAGAGGATAATTCAAAAATTGCCTCTAACAGAAGCTCTTCTCACTCAAACCCTGAGACACTCAAAGGAGAAGAGTGTGGTTCCTACTAATAGCCATCAGCTCTAAGCGCCTTTGAATGTCCTCTCATAATGTTAGCCTTAATATTATCGTAAGGCCACTGAGAGTGCAAACAAGTGACAATAGTTGACCCCATGAGAGAGAAATCACATTAGCACATTTCTATACTTTAGAGTTAGATACCATTTCTCTCTAGCAATCACCACACCCTAAACTTAACGGCAAATTATTGCATCAGGTCACCGAACACGTTCGAATCCTCTCTGTTCGGTGATATATGAATGTGATGATAACCTGAGAAGAGCTCAAGTTGGGCACATTCACTCATCAAATATGGCTCTCGAGACGATCGAATTAAGGCTTCGTTTGGAACAGTTTTTTTACTGATTCTTAAAGCAATTTTGTAGCGCAAAAATTTTACAAAGCTACTTAAAGAAGCAGTAAGAAAGCCGTCCCAAACGAAGCCTTAAGCTAATACACAACCTAAGCTTGCTCAATTGCACTCCAAAGTTCACAATTCAACCATTTTACACTGTAAAGGAGTTACAAGTGAAACTACAAGTTTCAGGCATTTTTACAAAAATAAAAATAAAATGTGTCAGACACTCTTAGGGAATTCGAATGAAACATCGGTGCGTATGGAACTGGCTATGCTAAGAAAGAACTTCCACAAAATCATTACTCATTTGACAAAACTTACAGAAAGAAATCATGGAAACTCATGGATTATCTGTTACTATTTTCATCAAAACGTTACAAAAATATGTTATATCTAATAAGCAACATTTCTATAAAATCCAAAAAAGTACTAATTTGCTTACATATGGAAGATCTATCTACTTCGTAGCCAATTTGGTCTATTATTTGCTGAAGAAAAGCTGATAAATTGCAAGCTTAACCAGCTTAGTCCATAAAAATATATTGATCATACCATAGAGACCAATTTACTAATTGTAATGCTTTGTCCATACTGGTATTGAGTAGATGAGAGTTCCTGCAGCAAATGAGGGAAGGATAGTCAAAATTGCGTAGGAGAGAGCTCTCCCAGGGTGCCCACTTTGCCTCATGGCATAAACTTCTGCAACAAAGGTAGACACAGTGCTCAAGCAACCAAGGAAACCGAACTGGACTCCACTCAAAATGATTGTGCATCTTTTTGTGTTCACCTGCTCAAACATAGCCAAAAATAATTTCGCTAGTAAGGAAAAATAAAAATAAAAATAAAAAGCTAAGTTTGTAGCCATGTTTCAAATGAACTAAGAAATATATTTGTTTTATCATAATCCTGCAACTTAAATATTCGAGGCTAATCAAATAAACGGACTGTCATTTCGAATATTTAGAACTATCTAGCAAGTTTGAACAAATTTTACACAACTTGAAATTAAAAACTTTGTTTCTTTGCTTGACTAAGGCTTTGTTTGGGACAGATTTTTTTATTGCTTTCAAACTTTTTAGAACAAAAATTTTTTGAACTAAAAATTTTTATATTAGGAAGTTGCTTCAGAAAGTAGTAAAAAAACAGTCCCAAACGAAGCCTAAAACTTCATTCGAATTAGCAATTAATTAGTATCTAACCGACTTAACTAGAAATCACTTGATTCTAAGGTTTCATTTGGGACAGCTTTCTTATTGCTTCTTAAAGCAGCTTTCTAGTATAAAAAATTTATTTGTTGTACTACAAAACTGCTTTAAGAAGCAATAAGAAAACCATCCCAAACGAAGCCTAAATCTACTCGAGACTGATCAAGTGAATATGCACATATATTTAGATATTTTAAGTATACTCGAACTATATTGGAGTGATCAAAATCAATTTCCAGTGAAGAGTGAAGCTGGAAAGTTAGTTTCGAATATTATTTTTACCAGCTTTGCTAATATCACTAAAATAAGTAAACTAAAGGGTGTTGAAAGTGAAAGGTATGAAAAATATAAAGCAGAACAAATACATTTATAACATTATACTGCATAAAGAAAATTTTCCTAAGAAACAAGCTCAATAAAAATAGCTAATCAATGATCAAATGAAAGCTTTTAACGAGTAAAATTCACATACCGCCTTGCTGATTGTTGCAAGAGCTGCCATAAGGCATGCTGCCAGAAAATTAGCCAATAGAGTCCCAATGGGGAGCCATTTGAGAGATCCCTTCTTTCCTAGGCCCTGGCCATTAAGCCTAGCAAGGTACCATCGAGCCCAAACACCAATGGGACCAACCAAGCAGCCTAACCAGAGGACAGCGCCACTGGTGGGATTGTCTAACTTTTTTCTCGCTAATGCACCACTCAAGCACCATAATGACACCCAGATTGCTAACATGAATATCATAACCATAACGTGCCGCTTAAATGTATCCAATTTCAGCTTCATAAGCTTGTTTTTGGTTC